GCACCCAGGCTGGAGTGCAGTGGTGCAGTCTTGGCTCACTGTGACTCCGCCTCCTGGGTTCAAGTGATTCTCCTGCCTCAGCCTCCCTAGTAGCTGGGATTACAGACATGCACCCATGCCTGGCTAATTTTGTACTTTTAATAGAAACAGGGTTTCTCCCTGTTTGTCAGGCTGGTCTCGAACTCTCGACCTCAGGTGACCCACCTGCCTCGGCCTCCCAAAGTGCTGGCATTACAGGCAGGAGCCATTGCCTGTATGTACTGCTTATATGAATTGCAAGAACAGACAAATCCATTCTTTGGTGATAGATATCAGAAGGCAGTTAACTTGGAGTTGGGGCTAAGAATGACCAGAAAAGGGCAATAGAAATGTTCTATGTCAGCAGTACTTTTTTTTGAGATGGAGACTCACTTTGTCATTTAGACTGGAGTGCAGTGGCACAATCTTGGCCCACTGCGACTTCCGCCTCCCAGGTTTAAGGGATTCTCCTGTTTCAGCCTCCCGAGTAGCTGGGACTACAGGCGCCATATCATGGTTAATTTTTGTATTTTTAGTAGAGATGGGGTTTCACCATGTTGGCCAGGCTGGTCCCGAACTCCTGACCTCAGGTGATCTGTCTGCTTCAGCCTTCCAAAGTGCTGGGATTACAGGCGTGAGCCACTGTGCCCAGCCTAGCAGCATGTTTATTGTATATAAACTATCATTTGATTTAAAAAATCACACCCCCCAACAAACAAACAAACCAACCCCTAAAGGGAAGGAGGAAAGGATGGGGAATTCTCTCCAGCACTTAACTGGAGACAGGCGGTAGTGGAGCCTGACCTTCAGGAGCACACACATGACTTCTAAACGTCAAGACTGGCACTCCTGACACAGCCCTGTCATTGGAGCTCACAGAAGAGCTAAGGGAGTGAGGACTGTAGTTGTCAGGAAGGCATCTTAGATGTGGCAGGATGTGCGACGGGCCCAGAGAGCTGGATGGAATTTGACAAATCGGAGATTGAAGTGGCGATGTCACAGAAACTTTGTGGTTTTGTAGAAATACCAACCTGGCCAACATGGCCAAATCCTGTCTCTACTGAAAATACAAAACTTAACTGGGCACAGTGGCACACACCTGTAATCCCAGCTACTCGGGAGTCTGAGGTAGGAGAATCACCTGACCCCAGGAGGTGGAGGTCACACCGCTGCACTTCAACCTCAGGGACACAGCGAGACTCCATCTCCAAAAAAAAAAAAGTTGCTGCTCAAAGGTACTTATGTACTTTTGAAATTTGACCAACAAAAAAATCTATGCCAATATACACTTTTACCAAACTGTGAGAGAGTGGCCGTTTATCCAAATTCTTACCAATATTAGGCGTTACCATTCATTAAAAATTTTATCCAGCTAATTTGACCGATTGCTTGTTTTAACTTGTTGTTGTTTGATCACTATTGAGGTTATGTGCCTTTTTTATTTTAAAGACAGGGTTTGGCTCTGTTGCCCAGCCTAGAGTGCAGCGATGTGACGATGGCCCATTGCAGCCTTAGTCTCCCAGGCGCCGTTGGTTCTCCCGCCTCAGCCTCCCGAGTAGCTGGGACTAGGAGCATGTACCATCATGCTTGGCCAATTTTTTTTTTCTGTAGAGACTGGGTTTCGCCGTGTTACCCAGGCTGGTCTCCAACTCCTGGGCTCAAGTGATCTGCCTGCCTCAGCCGCCCAGGGTGCTGGGATTGCAGACGTGAGCCGCTGCGCCCAGCCTGAGGTTACATGTCTTTTACAAAATGTGTTTACCAGCCGTTTCAGTTTCCTCTTCTGTGTATTTTCCAGGTTTTGTAAGCTGTTCACCTTCCTACCGTTCTGTGTGCTCTTTGTGCTTTAGTGATGTTAACCTTTTTGGTATAGGTTGCATGTAGTTTTTAGTCTGTCATTTGTTGGTTACATATCATATGTCCTTCACTGTACAGTCATTTCCAATCTGTTATACAGTTAATTTGTTAATACTTTTACTTATAGATTTGCGTCTTGCTTAGGAAGGCCCTTTCCCAACCTGAATGGTTTCTTCTAGTGTTTTTCCTCTTCCCTTGGCACGCAGACACACACTCATCCGCCCACTCGTTCAGATCTGTAAGTGTCTGGAATTTTGTGTGGTAAGATACACGGTCTAATTTCCTTTTACCATATTGTGTGGCCTTCGTCGTTGACTGCCCCTGATTTGAAATGCTATTTTTTATCATAATTAAGTGCTCATACGTACATAGGCTTGATTTTGAACCATTCATTGTGTTTCATTGATTTCTTAGTCCCTGTCAGAACCCCACTGTCTTAATTCCTGTAGCTCCGTTATATGTCTTTCTCATCTGTTAATGTGAGTTTCTCCACATTATTCCTTTTGGGAAGGTTATTGGCTCTTCGTATGCTGGTTCAAATTCCAGGTGAACTTAGGGTCAACTTACCAAGTTTCAGAACACATAAGTATATCCCATTGGAATTTTGATTGGGTTTGCGTTGAACTTGCAGGTTTTCAAAGTGACACTGGACAGCATTATAATTTTGAGTCTTAGATCCATGTATCTATCCAGTCTGTTGTTCGATTCTTCTTGCGTTTAGCTCCCAAATATCTCCTTGGTCATTGCCTTTCTTCCACTGCCATCATCACCCCTACACTGGGCTTGCTACAGTAGTTCGTTAGGTGGTCTCCTTGTGACCACTCTCGGCTTCCCAGTCTCCTCTCCAGGACAGTCCAGGCTGTGCATTAGCTGTTCTCTGGGCTTAGACTACCTTCCCTGCTGGCCTCCCCCTTCACCCGGTTAATTTCTCCTCATCCTTAGATCTTACGTCCATTGTCACTTCCTCAAGGAAACCGCCCTGACCTTCCTAACAAGGTGAACTTCCCCATCTACAGTGTCAGGGCACTCTTTGCCTGTTCTTCTGAGCACTCGGTTGAGCTAGCTGTAAGTTTACTTTTGCTCTTCCTTGGAATGGGAGGTGAATTCTTGTAAGCACAAGTGAGCTCTCTAAGCACAGATGGGCCCTCTAAGCACTGAAGGCTCTTTAAGTGCAGGTGAGCCTTAACACGCAGGAGGCTCTCTAAGCGCAGATGCATCCTCTAAGCACATGTGAGCCCTCCAAGCACAGAGTGGATCTGGAAGCACAAGGGGTTCTCTAAGCACAGGGGACTCTAAGCCCAGACAAGTTGTCCAGCACAGGGGTCTGTGTAAGCACAGGGGCTATGTTTGGTGTTGCTCATGTTGGTAATTCCCCCACTCCTAGCCTAGAGCCTGGCCCAGAGGAAGAGCTTCTGAAATACACATTGGCATCAGTTGGTTGTTTCCTCCTGTTTATGTGAGTCGTCATGTGAAGAAGTGCAGTTTTCTTCCTCTGTGGTATTGTACCGTTCTTGTGACGTTTACGCCCATGTTACTTTCTTTTTGCTGGGAGAGAAGTGCTGTTGATTTTTGAATGTTCCTGTGGCTGTGATGTAGTGGAAAGACCTTGTCGTTGAAGGTTGCTTAGTTCCTGTGTGACCTTGGTTGGGTCATTTCACCTTTACGAGATGATTTCTTTCAAATACAATGTTATCACAGCCCTAAATAACACAAAGTGTTTTGAGGATCAGAAGAGATAATACGTATGAAAGCTCTCTTTTAACACCAAAGGGTAAGCAGAGTTAGAACCTTTTCTCTTTGTGTATATTCAAGATTTTTGAATTTTTGTGAATTTCTTCCAGTGAGGAGATAGATTCAGAGAACATTAGCAAATGAGTTTCCTCTCAGCTTTTTCTCATAAACCATAATCAGAAAACCAGAGTTATGCCAAGGGAGAGGCACTGGGAACATGGTTGGTAAACATTACATTATTGGTGTTCAGATATGAGGTTCCTGCTTTTCATAATATCCTTAGGGTACTGGGGAAGATTTGATATTTTCTGAGATTGCTGTAAAATGCAAGTTATTGCTGCGACTATCGCCCAATTATTCTGATACTTAGTTTACTTAGACTTTAGTAATTGGAAAAAGATTAGATGTCAGGACTTTGTATTTTGTTGATTATATTAGCAGAGTCTTCTCTTTAATCATTTCTTTTATTCCTGTTATTAATCATTAGCTCCAGGCTGTTAGGAGAAGGACCTAATGGTAGATTCCTAACTTAAAGGAAAGAAATAATTACTCGAGTTTCAGTGGGATTGGACAAGTGTTGATTCACCTACAAATTGGAATGGATTCTCTAGCCGTCCAGGGCATGGGAATGAGACACTCAAGGAGACACGGAGGTCGATGGAATGCAGGCCGGCTCTCCTTACCCCGCTGCCCCGTGCTGTCCTTCCCTGCCCTTGGAGGTGGTGGGCCTTGCTCCCGGACCCTGCTGCCTCTGGCCAGCCCCTCCCCCTCGTGATTCTTTTCTACTTGTAGGTATTTATAAAGCTTCATTGACTTGTATTAGATTACCTTGAAGACTTTGTTGTCTGTGTAGAATATGGCCATATCCTTAATTAATGCTATGTAAAGACAAGCTTATCTCCATGAAACAGTTTCTTTCAAAACCAGTAGTGAGAAAAACCACATCATATAGATATGCTTAAATAGCAAATGGAGAGCGAGATGGATGAAAGAAAGGAAAACCAATTCACATGGTCAGGTTGGGAGGAAAAAGCCTCCTTTGGGAGAGAGAAGGGGGAAGGGAGGGAAGGAAGGAGGCCAGTGTCCTCTAGATTTCCCTGCTTGAAGGAGGAGGGGGTCGTGGGGCCTCACCTGTCCCAGGGTAGCGCCAGGGACACTGGGGATGCCTTTTGCAAACATATACACAGGTGACCTGTAGCTTGGTTTGAATAGAATGGTAATTTACCTTCTCTCAGATATTGAGAACACTTGGTATCTGAAATGTTGATCATTTAGTTTAATTTGTTTATGAGGCTCATTGCCTCCTAATAATCCAGGTGGAATGTGTGAAAGCACTGGGGACATTTGTGAACCTTCTGTAAGTCTTGTTTTTCCTTGTCCCTTTTTTTCATCAACAGAGGAGTTACGAAAGTTGAGCTGGTCCGGAATCCCTAAGCCAGTGCGTCCGATGACGTGGAAGCTCCTCTCGGTAAGTGCCACCAACACGCCCATCAGCGCATCTCCCTGTGCGTAGGCACTGCAGGCATCTGGCCTGAGAAGGGCCTGCCAGCCACCACCCACAGGTTTGCCCTGGCTTTCTTGCACAGTGATCAAGGTCTTTGCCATGGCTAAGCTGACATTTTCCATTCTTTGCTTAATTTTAAGCTTGGTTTGACAGGACTGGCAGAAAACAAGGACAAGTAATAATTATGACAACTGTATTCTTTCCTCAGATTTTATTAGAAAATCTTTGTATGTTCCAGGCTGTGATATGGAAAGGTTTCAGCAGAGCAGAGATTGTTATTACAACTTTAAGCAGCTGAAAGAGGGAAATATGTTTTAAATTTGTTTTGAATATATTGAAAACAAGGACATATATTTGATCACTTTTTTTTGTTTTTTGAGACAGAGTCTTGCTCTGTTGCCAGGCTGCAGTGCAGTAGTGCGATCTCTGCTCACTGCGATCTCTGCTCATTGCAACCTCCGCCTCCCTGTTCAAGCAATTCTGCCGCAGCCTCCTGAGTGGCTGGGACTACAGGCACATGCCACCACGCCCAGCAAATTTTTGTATTTTTAGTAGACATAGGGTTTCAGCATGTTGGTCAGGATGGTCTCGCCCTCTTGACTTCATGATCCACCCACCTTGGCCTCCCAAAGTGCTGGGATGACAGGTGTGAGCCACCGTGCCCGGCCTTTTCTTTCTTTTTTAAGGTATTAGTAGTGCTGTTAGGAAAACACAAAAATGGATGAGAGAAGTCGTTCGTGTTTCTGTGGTGGAGGGTGGCATTGTGGCCGCCTCAGCCCTGGTGCTAAGCTGCCTGTCTGGGTGCCCTTTGGGAAAGGCCCGGGCAGGCAGGGGTGGCCGTCAGCATGTCCTCTTGCGCGCAGCTCAGGCTTCCCATCGGAAGTGAGTTTGGCCCTGCTGACCATTTCAGAATGGTTTGCAGGAAGTTTTCTTCTCTTTTCCTTTTTCATTATTTTTGGAGTTGAGTCAATAGGGAGCTCTGAGTGTTTACTCTCAACTGGGTCTGACTTTTAGTATTTAAAAGACTCTTTCTGGCTAATGAGTCTTAAGAAATTTGCAGCTTAGCACCTCATAATCCTAAATGCAGATGCAGCTCTCAACAGTGAATATTTATTGATTAAATATTCTCTGGCAATTAAAATTAGGCTTGCTGCGATTGCTTATATTTTTGTTTTGTGCCTTTTTATTTTAACCTAGTTTTCCAGTTTATATCCAGTTTTCTAAATGTCCCCGAAGATAGGTTGCAAACTTTTCAGGTTGATTTGTGGGAAGTTTTGATGCAAATCCTAATTTCAGTTTTATGTTTATTAAGGATGTGCTGTGTCTAGGTGGAAAGTCTCACGTGAGTTATTTTATGATGCTCTTTCTCTCTAGTTCTGTCTCTGCAGCTCATGGTTCCACTTCGCTGGTGTGTATAGCACAGGGGTTGATGTGGACATGGACACTCTGGTTTCAGTGGACAGAGGAGCAGAAGGGGAGGTGACAGACAGCCCCCTCTGCTGGTTGTGGACAGGAGGGCAGGTGGGTGTAGGTGGAGTCTGAGCCAGAAATCCTGGCGATGCAAGTGACAGTGTGACCCCAGGAAACCTGAGACAGGTCTCAGGTGATTTAGAAAGTTTATTTTGCCAAGGTTGAGGACGCACTGGTGACATGTGCCCAAGGTGGTCAGGGCACAGCTTGGTTTTATCCATTTAGGAAGACATGAGACATCAATCAATATATGTCAGAAGCAGGGAGGGAGCGTCCTGGTCACAGATAGGCGATACACAAAGGTTACATTCTTCTGAGTTTCTGATTAGCCCTTCCAAAGGAGGCAAATCAGATGTGCACCTATCTCTAGTGAGCAGAGGACTGACTCTGAATAGAATGGGAGGCACGTTTGCTCCAAGCACTTTGCAGCTTGAGTGTTTTTTTTAGTGATCTTGGGAACCAACATATTTTTCTTTTACAAGAGAAAGCCTGGGCATTCTCAGGGCTTTCTCTTATGAAAGGAAAGACACATGTAGTCCTTTAACCGTCATTGCCTGCAGGGGCCTTTGCTTGGGAGACAGAGATGAACTAGACACCTGCCTGCCATTACGAGGAGGTGGGGCGCCGCAGACTTGCGGTGTGACGGAGCTGGTGGAGGCCGGGACTACATACTACAGGATGGAGAAGATGCAAGTGTGAAGCAAGGGGTGGAGGAGTCCCGCGGCATCTGGAGCAGCTCAGTGCTGAGGGTCAGCCTCTGCTGAGAGGAGCCTTCACACCTAGGATATGCAAGGCCGTGGCAGGTGGGGAAGGACGGGTGGGAGTGGAGGCTTGCAGTCACAAGGGACAGAGTTGAACGTGGTGGTTCTTGGCCCTCTCTGGGCTTGGATTGACAGATGAGTAGAAAATAAATGTTAGGTCAGGGAGCAAAGCTTGTCCTTCCAAATGTGGGGTGCCTAGTAGGGCTTCATGAGGATGCCAGGTAAGGCTTTCTTGGGGAAGGTGGCATCTTACGTGTCATCTCAAAAGGGATGTTGGTGTTCTCTCTGGTAGTGGGAAGTGGGGAGGCCATAACAGCTGAGACACACAGTAGGGGTGGGACAAGCAGGAGCAAAGGCTGGGGTGGAGGGGCCCAAGTGGAGGCCAGGTGACAGCTGCCCTGCTGCCGTCATTACCCGCCCTGTTGCTTGGGTTTTATCCTGAGGATTTAAGTGGGGAGTGGTGAGCCCGTGTTTCTGGAAGAGTAAAGCCTTAAAGGAGCCCTTGGTTGGTTCATTCATTCATGTGCACGTGTCACTGTGTTGGGTACAGGGAAGAAGACCAAGTCATCCCCCTGGGGCCTGCAGAACAGACAGTAGAGGGCCCGCCTTTTTCTGTCCCCCCACCGCCCCTGCAGGACAGACCTAGGGTCCAACTACATGGAAATGGAGCCTGCTTTCTGGGATCCTATTTCTGTGCCCTCAATGCACTGCTGCCCTGTGCCTGTCCCTTACTGTATGCTTGCCCTGTGTCAGACCATGCACTCAGAGATTCTTGTGGACAGGCTTGTGGCAGGTAACTCAGGGACCAGGCAGTTCTTGCCCACTGTCTGACTCAGAGGAGCAGTGCTGGTTGAGGGGAGGCTGCTCCAAGCAGGCTCTTGGGAGGGGACTAGCGTTGGGACAAGAAGAACTGGGGAGGGACAGGGAAGGGAGTTGAGGGGCCAAAGGCTACAGGGCTGGAATGAGAGGACCCTGGCAGCTAGAGTAGGGAGAAGCGTTGGTTCTTTCTCTGGAACAAGTGCTCACTGTGCCTTTGCCATGCCCCACGCCCTGTGCTGGTGAGCGCTGATGCCATCCAGCTCCCCAGGCACAGTCCTGCTGTACCGTGGCTCTGGGCCTTCTGTAAGAGTGGAGATTTGGGGAGCACAGCACACGATGCCAGTCTCCCATCCCTGAGCACATGTTGCTCACAAATCTGCCCTCAGCCAGGCCCTCTGCAGGTACTGGGGTTATGTTAGAGATGGGTTTATAACGTCAGGAAGAATCCAAACGGAGACAATGTATCACTAAGCAAGACTAGTTGACTTCCTGCAGGAAGGGTGCCACTCGCCGGCAGCCTTGCCATGAGAGCACACCTGCACAAGGGAGACAGGGACATTTAGAACTTTCATAACCTGACGCAATCATGCTATTGCTGTGTCCAGTTTCCATTGGCCAGAACCGGACCTCACATTCTATGCTTGACCTGATCAGCTAAAAACCTGGAAATTTCCTGAATAGATGAGGGGGAAGAAGATGAGGGAGAAGAGGAAGCTAGTCAGGAGAAAGTCAGGAGAAGGTCAGGAGGGTTTCCAGATAAGGAGTGGCATGCGCCAGGATTTGGAGCTTGCCCGGTCCTGTTCAGACATGCTGGAGCGAGTCCACATAGCTGACTAGAGAATATATATACATGGCTGTATGTTTATGCTAATAGCGGATAATGGCCATAGAGCAAGAGATCGTACCTCCTTATAATGTAGTCTAAGATATAAACCAAGAAGAGCTTTCCCATCTCTCACAGGTTACAAGAACATTTGGGAGAATGGTGGGGGGTGGGAACTCAGCAGGGAAGGAGTCTCTCCAATTAAGGATGCCTCGTTATCATTCCCCGAACCCCAGGGCTCTCCTGGGGAGCTTTTCCAGATCCTTGTGTCTGGGCCCGTGAAGCAGATTGGAATCTCTAGGGTAGACTGAGGCATCAGGGTGTTGACTGACTCCAGCAAGCTGTGAACCACATAGTCCACAGAGTGTCTACCCTGTGGTTAGGTGGGGGATGGGAGGCAAGGGTGTGGCAGGTTCAGGCCTGCCCTCTTCATCTGGGGGTTTCCATTCTGGTTGCATGTTAGTATCACCTGGGGAGCTCAGGAAATACTGTTACCTGGGTTCTTGGGGGTTCTCACATGTGCCCAGGATTGGAGACAGCTTCTCTGGGGCACTCAGGCTTCAGTGGGACAGGGTGGGGGCGTACCTGAGCCACCTGGGAAGCAGGTCATTGAAAGTCGTGCACTATGCTTGTGCGGGCAGTGAGGCCCCACTGCAGGCAGCATACACCTGGGCTGAGGTACCTGGGCAGGAGAGCTGGCCTGGGGCGCTGGAGTGGTGGCATTGGAGGGGCGAGAGGCTCAGTGGGACTCGCTGAGAGCCAGGAGCATCTTGCCTGGGATGGCTCGGGTGAGCAGGGTAAGACTGAAGGGGTTTATTCCAGTCCATGAGTCCTTCCAAGACCCAGAGGTTAACAGTTACGCCCAGAATTGAAAATTTATCATTTGTCCAGCTTCAAAAGGCAGATAACCAAAGCTGTACTTGAATGGGAATTTATTTCAGGGTCTGGCAAACTAATGACTCTTCTTCATTATGTTTATGATTTGTCATTAACATGACTCGAGTAGCATTATTTTTAATTGATGAGTAGGCAATGCCACTTCAATGAAGAAAGATGAGAAACATGACTTGTCATTTATGAAAAACTAATAT